CTTATTCTGCGTCAAAGGCCTTTTGAAAAATTAGGATAATTTGTCATGTTTGCTTCTTTTTTTCCTTATTTGATGGGGTTTTAATTAGCGTATCTTTTAATGGTTTTTTTAAAGGTTTAATTTACTCTGTTTTTAATGCAGTTCTTTTTTAAATTCGTGAGCTGCCTTGGATCCTCTTATGGCGAGAAAGGCAGGCTATCAAGAACTAAAATAAATTCATGCCTGCTTCTGCCCCGCCTGCCATTTCTCGTCCCTGGGGTCTTCCCAGCCAGGCCCTCACCTGGGTAGGGTCCCAAGTACACGGCTCGGCCTTCTTCTCTGCTCCGCCCCGAGGGCTGGCCTCCCCTTTTCCATAGGAGCAGGGGAAGGTTTTTCTGGAGGGGGGGCAGCCACGGATGGTTGAGCCCAGCATCTCTTTAGAGGAACAGGCTTGAGGAAGGAAGTGAGCGGGAGATGCTCTGCTGAGGGTGTCAAGATGGCCGTCTCCTCAGCTGCAGAGATTCGAGTTGCTTTGAGAGGGAGCACCCAAGCCCGAGAAGGGCCAGGCTGGGGTCCCCCTCTTGAAGCCCCTTCGGCACCCCCTGCCTCGCCCCAGCTGCCCCCTACCACACTCCCCCCTTTCCTCTCTTGGCTTGGCCCTCTGGAGCATCGCCAAGAAAGCCGGGCATCCCAGGAAGCCGGGCGACCAACCGACGCCAGGGACGGGACGACGGGCTCTGTGCTTTCCCTTTCACGGGGGCCAGGCAGCCGAGGGATGCTCAGGCAGGGAAGAAGAAGGCCGTGCCTGCCGGTGGCCCTTGTAGCCGCTGTGGGCTAAGGCCAGGCAAAGGCTTCCCCCTCCTTTCCCCCCCCTTGACACCCCCTTCAGCCTCCGGCCGGCCTTGCCCATGTCTGGGGTCAGCCTCATGTCTCTCTCTGGCTCCTTCCTTCAAACAGGGCTTGAAGGCCAACATGAAGCGCCTCTACCAGCTCATCACGGAGCCCCAGTTCAACCGCTGCACGAAGGCCAGCAAGTACAAGAAGCTCCTCTTCGCCCTCTGCTTCTTCCACAGCATCCTGCTGGAGCGGAAAAAGTTCCTGCAGCTGGGCTGGAACATCATCTACGGCTTCAACGACTCCGACTTTGAGGTGAGGCGGAGGGCAGGGAGGAGGGAAGCACCCAGCCAGGACGCTGGGGGGGGGGCTGGAGTGTGTGGGATGGAACAGCCAGGACTGTGGGTCTCCTTCCTCCCTCCCTCCCTCACTCGGTCTGACTGAGCCTGGGCAGCTCCAGGGTGCCCAGAAACGTCACAGCCATTTCCCTCCCTCCGATGACCGCTGTCACATTAGTTGTTGGAGCATAGAAATCATAGAAAAGTAAAGTCAGAAGGGGGGGCCAACGAGGCCATCCAGTCCAACCCTGTCACATTAGTTGTTGGAGCATAGAAATCACAGAAAAGTAAAGTCAGACCGGGGGGGGGGCAACGAGGCCATCCAGTCCAACACCCCCTGCTCAAGGCAGGAATCCAAATCAAAGCAGATCTGCCAGGGGGATGATCTAAGTTTTTCTTGAAGGCCTCCAGTGTCAGAGCACTCACCCACTCCCGAGGTCCACTGGTTCCACCGTCACACTGATCTAACAGTTAGGAGGTTTTTTCCTGATGTTTAGCGGAAATCTGGCTTCCTTTAACTTGAGCCCATGGTTGCATGTCCTGCGTTCTGGGATGATGGAGAACAGATCCTGCCCCTCCTCGGTAGGACAGCCTTTCAAAGATTTGAAAAGTGTCATCCTATCTCGCCCCAATGTCAATGCCTGACCCACCAGGTCTCACCACAGACGAGGCTCCTGCAGGTAAGCCGCCCTGAGGGAGGCCCGTAAGTAAGTCTTCTACAAGAGGCAGGGCCTCCTTCGTGGTGGCTCTGTCTTTGTGGAACCGGCTCCCGGAGGAGCTTCGCCTGGCCTTTGAGAGGCAACGGAAGACGTGGCTTTTTTTTCAGAGAGGTCTTCCACTCCAACCCCAGCTGAGTCAAGGTGGATTGTACGTCCCCGTCCCAGTCACTGCTATTTTTATTCTTATTTTTACCTTACGCTTAGTTATATCATTGCTCTGGTGCCTTCTGTTTTCATGTGGTCGTTTGCAGTACGGTTTCATTATACTATTTTATTTTGATGGTGTATTTTTACTGTGAACTGCTCAGAGTAGTGCTGTGGCACTAATGGGGGCAGTATATAAATTCAAAGAAAGAAAGAAAGAAAGAAAGAAAGAAAGAAAGAAAGAAAGAAAGAAAGAAAGAAAGAAAGAAAGAATGAATGAATGAATGAATGAATGTTGTCCGGCCCACGGTACTCATCGCTCACAGAAGCGTCTTCCCTTCGAATATGGTGCAGACATTATAAAGCTGCAGACAGATAATAGTGACCAGGGAACTCTCTAGGGAATGGGGGAGGGTGGCGGGGGCAGGAACCTCTGCAGGTGGATGGTCAGCCGGTGGGTTCTCGGTGGGTGAGCACAGAGGAACAGCCCCCGGGATCAGATGCACTAAACACCAATCCACTGAATGTGATCCTGATTCTGCTTTTATTGGTGTTTCGTGCATCTGATCTCAGCTGGCGTTCTGTATGGACTTTCTCTTTTCTAATCCGAGGGGAGCCCTTGGTTTTGTGTGCCTGCTGGGGTGCACGGCGAGAGAGGAGGCCCCGGAGGTGTCCGTACCAGCTTCTGGGCTGCGCGGCTGCCTGCCTGCTTCTTGCCGGCAACCTTAGGATCCTTATTCTCAGGGGATGCTTGTGTAGCAGAGCCTCCTTTCCACCCACCGCAGACCTGCAAGCCGATTTGCCCTCCTCTGAGGCCGTTCCCTGTCTCCTTCTCTCCCGCCGCCCCCCCAGGTGTCCGAGAACCTCCTCAGCTTGTACCTGGATGAGTACGAGGAGACGCCCTGGGACGCGCTCAAGTATCTGATCGCAGGCGTCAACTACGGAGGCCACGTGACCGACGACTGGGACCGGCGCCTCCTGACCACGTACATCAACGACTACTTCTGCGAGCAGAGCATCGCTGCTCCCTTGTACAGGTGAGTCTGCAGGAGGACCCTGGGCGTGAGCCGCCAGGGCTCGAAGGCGGCATCGCTCCTCGGAGGCAGAAATTCGGGGTGCGGAAGGAAAGAGCCGGGAGGCAGCTTGTTCCTGCCACATCCGTCCGTCTTTATGGAAAGGTGGGCACAGGATTCTCCCCTGGCACCAACCCACCGACACATGCAGCGCACGGAAACACCTGGCTCGCCTGTCGGCTGTTTCGCCCTGCAGTGGGGGAAGGCAGGAGGAGCTGCTTCGGCAGACTCCAAGGCAGCCTTAAGGCCTTGCTGTCTTCCCTGAGGCTTAAGGACACCCTGAGAGTTTTCCATCCCCACCTTCCGTCTCTAGGAATGTCAGAAGTAGGTCCGTCTGGGCCCGTGGCTCCCAACTGCGGGCCACCCGGGTGTTCTTGGACTGCAATGCCCTGAAGCCACGGGTGTTCTTGGACTGCAATGCCCAGAAGCCACAGTTGGGGACCACCGGCCTAGGCCAGCATTGATGAGGAGCACGTGCAGCCACAGTTGTAGACGTGATTTTTTCCAAGCCTTCCCTGGACATCCCTGAGGGCCACCCATCCAGGCACCGGCCAGGCTCGACTCTGCTTAGCAGCCCAAACGAGCCAAGACTGAGCCTACCCGGGTGGAAGGGTGGTTTCAGAACTCGGACAGCCACGAGGAGAGGCAAAGCAAACCTTCCTTGCTCGTGGCTGGGCAGAAGAAACGCTTTCCTGGGATTGTGCCGGTCCTGGAAGGCTCGGCTTCTGTACGCCCGGCAAGAGGAGACCAAGGTCTCGGGGCCACACATCTCCACAACTCGACATCCTGCCGCCGGAGAGAGGAGAAGTGTCTGGAAAGCTGGGGCCGTGGGGTGGGTGTGCAGATTGGGGGGGGCAGCAAAAACCCTCTTGCCAGTGCTTGGGTCAGCCAGCTGGGACCCCTCTCTCTCCCCCCAGGCTCTCTGCGCTGGACACCTACTACATCCCCAAGGACGGCAACCTGGCCTCTTACAAAGAGTACATCAGCCTCCTGCCTGGCATGGACCCCCCCGAGGCCTTTGGCCAGCACCCCAACGCCGACGTGGCCTCCCAGATCACCGAGGCCCGGACCCTCTTCGAGACCCTGCTCTCCCTCCAGCCTCTGAGATGGCTTGTTTGGGAAAGCCGCCAAGGCTGGTGCCCCTGGGCGGGATTCCTCCTTCCTCGGGTGGCCCTCGGACTGTCCTGGGAGCCAGCCAGAGGCCCTCCGGCCCTCCAAAGAGCACTCTTAGGGGCTCAGGACACACACACACACACACCCCTGCCTCAAACGTGTGGGTGAGGGGTCTTGCCTCTCCCCTTGGTCAGGGGGCTGGGCTGGCATGTGTTTGACACACTGGACTTTCCCGTGGATTCACGCCATTCTTTCAAGGCACGGCACGGGCACTGGACCGCGGGGTGCCCAAAAACCTGTCGCAGCACCTAAACTCAGCCGGGATGGTCCTCCTGGGGGCACGACCCCCACCCCACCCCCCCTGTGTTTTTTGTGGGGGGCCAGAGAGGGCCTTTTCCCATCCGCTGAGTTTGGGGGCTTTGGCTTCGGAGAACGGGAGCCCCAGAGGCGTTGGCCGGTTTAGGAGTCCCAGGCAGAGAGGGGACCCGAGGGAGACAGGTCCACTTCCCGGCGGTCCCTGGAAGCCCGCTTCTCTCTCTCTTGCCCTCCCTCCCAGGTGCTGGAACTTTCCGCCGACGTGCTCAGCAAGATCCCGGAGGAGATCGACTACGAGGGCACCTGCAAGGTGCTCTCCACGGACCCCTCCCCACTCAACGTGGTCTTGCTGCAGGAGATCCAGCGGTACAACTCCTTGCTGCAGGTCATCAGGTGAGGAGAGGGCCTCCGTTCTGTTAGATTTTAAAAATGCCGCACATGGGTCAGGTGAGATACTAGCGGGAGTCCCATCACTTAGACCCATTCCGGATAGATTTGATTGCTTCGCTTATCCGAACGGCGAAGTGAGCTCAACAGGCAGCCCACACCTTAGGTAGTGGTTAGTCGCGATCCCAACAGCTTTCGGATTATATTCTGCCAGGTTCCGTCTCCGCTTGCACTCTTAGCTTGCTCCGGTCCTGCTTCGTAACTCGCAGCTGCGGGTTCAACCAGGGCCAGGCCTACTTTCCTGGCTAGAAAGCTGGGGAGGAACCTAGATCGCTCTGTGTATGCTCAAGGAGCAATCTTGCTCTCCCCCCAGCTGGCCTCAGTGCGGGAAGCACCGGTTTCGGACGGCTCCCCCCTCCCTTTCTAACTAAGCCGGACTCCTCTTGGTGCGGCTCTTGCCCGCCGCTCCCTCTCGCAGGTCCTCGCTGGTGGAGCTGGAGAAGGGCATCCAAGGCCTCGTGGTCATGTCGACGGACCTGGAGGAGATCTTCAACTGCATTTTCGACGCCCGCGTGCCCCCCATGTGGGAGAGGGTGAGGCCGGAGGGAATGGGGTTGTGCCTCCTGTCGGGACCTACCTTCCCCGCGGGGCGCTGGCATCCCTGCTGTGTGAAGCTGGGCAGAAACTGCCTTCCTGGGCCCAGGAAGGAGGAGGGACTGCTCTTGTGGCTTCTGTTTTGGTGGGGGGGCAGAGAGAGAGAGAGAGAGACGTTGCTTGGCCAGCTTTTCAGCACAGCCGAGAGCATGGCAGTGCCAGTTCCTTCTGTTTTTCTCGGACACCTTTTTCTTCTTCTCAGCCCTGCGGGGGGCAAACCTCTCTTTAAATGGAAGGCGTTTGCAGGATCCCTTCTGGGACCCCCCCCCCAGGTTTCCTTTTGCTTCTTCTGAACAAGCCCTGCACCATCCAGATGTATTGGGACTACAATAACCATTAATCTTCAACAGCACTCGATGGGGCGCGAAGGCAAACGTCTTCCCATGGGGGGGGGGGGGAACGAAACCACCAGAGAGCGGCTCTTCTGAGGAACCAGATTCTCCCCCACGAGACACCAAACTTTTCCGCCTCTTTCTTTGAATCGCGGGAGGGAGACCAAGAAGCCCTTCTTGTCTGGCAATCGATACACAGAGGAGAGGTCTGGCGAGAGGCACCTTTTCCAGCTGCCCAGCGGGTACTTTTGCCCTGGCTGACATCGCCTCCGGTGGCTTCCCTTCTCCGCAGGCGTACCCGTCCCAGAAGCCCCTCGCGGCCTGGACCCGAGACCTGGCCCAACGTGTGGAGCAGTTTGCCCGCTGGGCCAACACAGCTCACCCTCCGGTGCTCTTCTGGCTCTCGGGCTTCACCTTCCCGACCGGGTTCCTGACGGCGGTCTTGCAGGCGGCCGCCCGCATGAACAATGTACGTGCGGAACAGGCTGAGAAAAAGGGGGCAAGATGCGGGAGGGCCGGGAGGGGCCCTGGGCATGTCCTCCGGGCCATGACCCAAGGAAGATCTCTTTGGGGGGGTGCGCACTATGGGGCCAAGTGGAGAAAAGGAAGTGGGGTTTAGGGGTCAAGAAGAGGTGGGCGAAGGCTGCAGGCCGGTGGTGGGAATGACTAGGAGGAGGGCCTGGGAGGGTTTTGCATCCTGGGGGAGCAGAGTGGAGCTTAGCAGCCCCCCCCCTTTAGGGTAGCGGTGAGGACACCGGGATGATGGAGACCTCTCCCTTCGCTCCCTCCTCTCTCTTCCTTCCAGATCTCGGTGGACACCCTCTCTTGGGAGTTCATCGTCTCCACCGTGGATGACAACAACCTCGTCTACCCCCCAAAGGTAGGGGCCTCCTTGTGCCGGGTGTGTGTGTGGGGGTGCTGGCATATTACCCCTCCGGAACCCCTCGGCAGGAATGTTAGCATTTAAAACCACAGCAGAAGATGTTCTCCTGACAAAGGTTTGGACCAGAAGGTCCAGCATAGTAAAGGCACACAGGAAGACACCAGGAAGAAGTGCAGAGAATATTTACTTGCTGTACATATTTCCCTAGTGCTCATAGAAACATAAACATAGGACATTCGGCAGTCAAACGGACAGAACGTCAGCAGGACAGTCAAAATAGAACTGCGAAGGGCACATGCACCGGCCTCTGAGTTTATACTACCTCCAACCCATCAAATTCGTGGTTCAACTCATGGTACCGTGTTTCCCCTAAAATAAGGCAGGGTCTTGTATTAATTTTTGCTCCAAAAAATGCATTAGGGCTTATTTTCAGGGAATGTTTTATTTTTTTTTCATGTACAACCATCTACATTGATTCACATGCAGTCCTGTCCTCTTCTGGCTGCTGCACAAGGGCGGAGAGCAGGGGTTTCTCTTAACTGGGGCTTATTTTGGGGATAGGGCTTCTATGACAAGCCTCCTGAAAAATCCTACTAGGGCTTATGTTCAGGTGAAGTCTTATTTTCGGGGAAACAGGGTCGTTCATCCCCCACGGCTGTGTCCTTCTTGTCCCATAGACCGTGACTCAGTAACTCCACCTGCGCTCACCCGTTGTGAATGACATTTTTCTTCTTAAAGACCTAAGGAGGAAACCCCGCAATCTCCCGGAGGCGGGGGGTGTGGGTGTAAGAGGGGAACCTGCCAGGGCCAAGCCTTAGGGGGCCCACGGTCACCCGTTCTGCCTGGCATCCTTCCTCCTTTCCTTTAGGAAGGCGTCTGGGTCCGAGGTCTCTACCTGGAGGGCGCCGGGTGGGATAAGAAGAACTCGTGCCTGGTGGAGGCTGAGCCCATGGAGCTGGTCTGCCCCATCCCCACCATCCACTTCAAGCCGGTGGAGAACAAGAAGAAGAGCGGAAAAGGTGGGGCTCGGCCAAGGGTGGGGGTGGGGGCTGGCCCCGGTGGTGGGGGGCAGGAAGGACAGAGGACCAAGTCTGTCAAAGCCCCCCACCCACCCTGTCTCTTCCGGCTGGCAGCAGGGCAGGGATCCTGCTCAGAGCTGCCTGGAGAAGCGACTTCTTTATTTTCACTCCGAATCCAGGCCCCCGGGGGGGACTACACAAGCCATCGTCCATAAACAAGATGAGGCTTGAGCCTTTCCCAGCCGCTGGGGGACTTCCCCCCTCCCTCCCTCCTCCCGCGCCATTCTCCTCCTGAGCAGGCGGGGAGGGTCTCTCTCCCCATCCCGAAAAGGAGGGAGGTTTCTGTGCCAAGGTGTCATTGCCTGGACCAAGGTTGTGTGATGTGCCCCCACCCACCCCACGGGCCCTGCCTGGCTGGCTGGCACCACCCACTGAGCCCTCCTCCTTCTCTCTGTGTCTCCCCCCCCAACCAGGGATGTACTCCTGCCCTTGCTACTACTACCCCAACCGGGCGGGCACCTCCGGGCGGCCCTCGTTCGTCATCGGCGTCGACCTGAAGTCCGGAGCCATGCCGCCCGACCACTGGATCAAGCGAGGGACGGCCCTCCTAATGA